CTTGCTTTTGCTCAGGCTGGTTTCGAACTCCTGACCTTGAGTAATCCTCCTGCCTCGGCCTCCTAGAATGTTAGGATTACAGGCATGAGCCACTGCACCTGGCCTTCTGTTATTCATTTCTAATTTAATCTTATTGTGGTCTGAGAATATGCTTTGATATTAATATAGCCACTCCAGATTCCTTTTGATTAATGTTATCATGGCATATCTTTTTCCATCCTATTACTTTTAGTAGTTGCATTAGGGCTTGTCACATATATCTTTAACTTATCAGTGTACCTTCAAATGACAGTATACCAATTCACATATAATTAAAGAACCTTATAATAGTATATTATTTCTTTCCTCCTGACCTTTGTACTATTGTTGTCACGTATTTTACTTTTACATATGCCATAAACCCCAAAACATACTGTTATTTTTGTTTAAACTGACAAGTATCTTTGAAAGAGATTTAAGTGACAAGAAAAAGAGCTTTACCCATGTAGTTACCATTTTCAGTGCTCTTTGTTCCCGTTTTGTAGATTCAGATTTCCAACTATTATTTTCCTTCTGTCTGAAGAATACACTTTAATATTTCTTATAGTGTGGGTCTGCTGAATTCTTTCAGCTTTGGTATGTCTAAAAATGTTTTTATTTTGCCTTTGTTTTGAAAGATACCTTTTCTGGGTTTAGAATTCTAAATTGAGAATTTTTAAAAGTACTTTAAAGATATTGCTATGCTTGTTTGGTCTGTTTCTGATAAGATACTGATGCTATCCTTATCTTTGTCCCTCTGTATGTAACATTTCCTTTTTTTTTTTTTGCTCTGTTTTTAAGATTTTCTGGTTTTTTACAGGTTCTAAGCAGTTTGATTATGATATGCCTTGATATTGTTTTCTTCTTGTGCTTGGGGTTCACCACGGTTCGTGGATCTGTGGGTTTATAGTTTTCATCAAGTTTGGAATGTCTTCAGTCATTATTTTTTCAAATATTTCTTTTTCCTCTTCTCTCTCTTCTTCGCAGACTCCAATTAACTTTATATTAGGCTACTTGAAGTTGTCCTAAAGCTCAGTGATATTCTTTTCATTTTTTGTCCTAAAGCTCAGTGATATTCTTTTCATTTTTTAAAATTCTTTTCCTCTGTGTGTTTCACTTTGGATAGTTTCTATTGCTATATCTTCAAGTTTACAATTTTTTCCTGAAATGTCTAATCTTCCATTAATCCCATAGTGCATTTTCTGCTAATTCTAATATCTGTGTCAGTTTTGTGTCATTTTTGATAATTCTCCACATTATAGATCACACTTTCCTGTCTCTTTACATGCCAAGTAATCTTCGATTGGATGCCAGACATTGTGACTTTTACCTTGCTGCATGCTTGATGCTTTTGTCATCCTATAAATATTCTTAAGCTTTGTTCTGAGATATAGATCAGTTGCCTAGAAATAGTTTGATCCTTTGGGTCTTGTTTTCATGATTTGTTAGGCAGGTCTGGAGCAATTCTCAGTCTGGAGCTAATTAGTCCTTGTTAGTAAGGCAAGACCTTCCTGAGCATTCTACATCATGTCCTGAGAATGAGGAATTTTTTCAGTCTGGCTGGTGGAAACAGGTATTGAGTGTCAGATACTGTTCCTTCCAATCTTTTTGGATGGTTTTCTCCTCAGCTTTGCATAGTTTCCTCTCATACTTGTGCTGACTGATTCTTTGCTAAATACTTAAGGAGGCCCTCTACAGATCTTTGAGATTCTCTCTCTGTGAAGCTCCCTCCTCTTCAGTACCCTGTCCCATGAACTCTAGTTGCCTTGTTCCCCCCAGACTCTCAGCTGTCTCCTCAATTCAGGGAGTCTGCCTGGTCTGCCTCAGTTCCTCCTCTCTATGCTGTGGCCTGGAAAATCTCTTAAGGTAGTAAGATGGGGTAGTCATAGGGGTCATCTTGTTTGTTTTCTTTCTCTTAGGGATCACTGTTCTTTGATGCCTGATGTCTAATGTCTTGAAAACTGTTCTTTCATGTAATTTTGTATTCTTTATATTTTTGGTTGTTTCAGATGAGAGGGTAAATCTGGTGTCCGTTACTTCAGCTTGGCCAGAAGTGAAAGTTCTACAGTCATATTCAATCCCAGAATACTATTCTACAGAGCAGATTACTTTTTGTTTTCCAGTTATTTACTATTAAAAAACAAGTATTCATAAACATATTTTTGCACTAGACCTGGCTGATCCTAAGAATCACATGGGGAAGTTTTAAATAATGCTGACTCATAAACCTATTCTTTAGATTTAGATTCAGGAGGCCTGGAATGGAGCCCAGAAATCTGTGCTTTTAAACAAGCTCCCTCAGTGAAAGTGGCCTTGAATTTCAGATGGTGAAAGGTAGGGACTCAGCTTTTTCTTTTTCATTGGAGAATAACACTCTGACAGAAAGCTTCACAAAAATATCTGAGACTTTAACTTAACTTGGACATTCCATAAAATATAACTTTGCATGGTTCCTACTTTGTAGTTCTCAGAAGTGGTAGATGAATGATGTGAAAAATTGGTTTATTAAAACTTTTTTAGTTCCACCATCCAATTGTAATGTTCAGGTTTCATTTCTGACTTGTACATTCAATCAACTTGTATGGTTACTAAGAGGAGTATTCCTGGAAAAATGCTGTAAATTAATGTTAAGTCAAATCTAATTTCATAGGGGAAATGATAGTATAATAAAGGTCCTACACCTGAAACTAAAAGATTTATTGTATACATTCAACCGACATTAATGTGAATCTATTATGAGGCAGGCACTCTGTTAGGCACAGAAGTAAATGAGACAGAAAGGGTCTCTCATGGCTAGGAAAAGTTCACCTCAAACCAACTGCAGTTAATATTTATTATTTTCTCTGCCCCAAACATTTTTCTGTAGAGAGAAATTGACTCATATTCTCTCTGTTCCCAAGTTCATAAATTCCAGGGAAAAGACTGGCCCAGCTTGGGTTAGGCATCTACTCCTGAACCTACCAGTTTGAAAAGTTGGGGGATGTTAAACTCCTGGCCTTTCTTTGTTTATATAACTATTTTCCTTATTGTGTAAGCTAGTTCAATTTTGGTCTTTGTCATTCGCAACTATGGGAATCCCAATCAATAAATAATTACAAGTATGATGCTATGAACGGGAACACACAGGGTATAATGGGAGTGTATCACTTTGGGGAAGAGACATATTACAGAGGGTTCAAAAAGCAAAAAAGGTCATATAGAAATATCTTTCACAGTAATATAATGCTTTGAGTAAGAAAACTAAGCAAATAAAGCTGTATTAAATATAATAGAGAATTGTAATTCCTGTTTTCATGGCAACCAGTCAAAAAGAGAATAAATATACAACTTCACTAGGATCACAGAAGACAGAAGAGAGAAGGGCTTTTTGAAGGAGACTTTTAGGGGACACTCAAATCTACTTTATGCTTTCTGAAAAAGTAACTCAGGGATATAGTTTTCTTTTTTTTAATTTCAAGTATTAAGGGGGTATAAATGTTTTTGTCGTAATGCTTATAATGCTTAAGTCAGGGCTGTAAGTATGCCCATCAGGGACATAGTTTTCTGCTTTTATTCCGTCTAAGTTTCTATGTACTCAGCCTTCACACGAAAGGTTAAGCAACAGTTGTTGGGCTGCTTTAGAACATGATGATCATAGGACACTTTGGGGCCTCCTTTATGTAGTTCCTTCCACCTTCTTGTCTGCTTTGGTTGGCGGAACATTACCCCTTCTTCTTGCCTCTCTGACATAGCCTTCTTTCCTTCCCAGCTCTGTCATAATTGGGTTTGTTAAACAAACTGTGCTAAGCTGCAAATTTACTTGCTTAATGTAGCTAGCCCTGTGGAACAAGAGCTCCAAGAAGGGGCCATGTCTTATCTACCACTAAATCACTGGCATCTAATATAGTGATTTGCACTTAGTAGGGACTTAACAAATATTTGCTAAATGAGTGAATGAAATATTAGACATTTAAAGCTAGGTGGGATCTTGGGGTTCATGTAGTCAACTATATGTTTAGAGATGAGTCAACTGAGGCCCATTGATACGAAGTGATTTGCCCAAGGCACCCAAAAGCTGCTACTGCCTGTGCTCTTAAGCCAAAGAGTTGCCTAGAGAGCACCAGAAACGGTGAGGTGATCTGCATGTTTCCTGTCTGCTGCAACATAGCCCAACTGGCAACATTATACAGTAAATGAGAATTATGACCAGAAATGTCTACAGTTGAGGGCTCTCTGGAAATCATGGTCACAGAATCACTGTTCTGTACCTCTTCCTTTAATCTGGAAGGAAACTGGGCAACTTTTTAAAGTAGGTAATTTGTTTTTCTATATCCCTTTTATATGCTCTGGGAAAAGATATGAATGCATAAGTTTGAATTTTTTTCCCCTAAAGATATGATTTCTCCTCCAAACTTGGAACTTGTCCTATGTTCCCTGTCTCATTGCCCATTGAATTGTACAAACCTAAAGTTTAAGGGTTGTCCTTGATCCTTGCTTCTTCCTCAGTCCCTACTATCAATCTATTAAGGCTTTCTGAATTTACTCTTTCATCATTTCTTACATCTGTTCACTTATTTCCATCTTGACATCCATCCCTCTAGTTCAGAGTCCCATCATCTCTCCCTTGTATTACTGCTATAATAGCCTCAACACCAATACCAGTATTTCAAATTGTCCCTTTCTTTGCTGTCCCAGAGGTTTTTACATTCTGGAATAATGTATCCGCATGTGCTCTCTCTCTCTCTCTTTTTTCGTTTTGGTTGAAGGGCAATTGTGCAAGGAGAGGTGAGAGAGAGAGAACCAGCATGCCTAAGATATGGTGTCAGGTGGAACAATTCTAGGAAAGAAGGGCAGGGGCAGTTGAAGATCTGGAAAGTGATTTCTTTAAAACTATCCATTGTCCTCCTTCCTTCCCCACCTTCTAATAGCATAGGTTTAAGTTAACTGATCTAACTCATGATGGGATTTTATGAGAATACAGAAAACTTTCTTTTCCTACTCACCATTGGTTCATCCGTGTTCTTTTGGAACTGTACCAGCCGAACTCTGGTCACATTCTCCATATCCATGTCTCCGTTAGCACTTTCTGGAGAATCACCGTTTAAGTAGGGAGAGGTGGGAGGAGGTGTGACCCTCAAAGCTTCATCACTGTAAACTTCATGTGCCACTACGTCGTGAGTCTGAAGTAAGGCCTAGTATTTTATAAAGAAAATTAAATATTAATAACATTACCATTCCAGCAGAAATTTATTCTACAAACATAGATAATATCATTCTTTGCCTCTCAAAGGTATAGCTCCTTTAAAGAGTGTGTTATACCTACATACAAGCATACCTCAATTTGTGACAAATAATCATGATAAATGGATTTTTAAAAACATGAATGAATGAGTGAGTGAATGAATCAATGAATGTATGTTTGTTGATTACTTGGGTCAGAGGTGTTGTCTGATACTATGAAAATGCACCAAACTAATTTATTCAAATAAAGGCAAACACAATGCAATTTCAAATAATTTAGCAGAAAGACTTGTCTGTAAATAGAGCTGGCAAATTTGTGCAGGGGCTTAAAATTGAAGCAAATGTAATAAAAACAGTGTAATAAAAGATGTACTGAGCAAGTATCTTTTGTCAATGGTATTAACAATACTGATTTTATATAATCCAAAAGATAAAGATAATTTGTAACATATAACTTAGTAAAAGAAGTAAAAATACATACAAATGTACCTTAAAAAATATAATTTTCCAAAATATCACATATGACATAGAGCTTAAAATCTAACATATTAAATATTTTTGTTCATTTCTATTTATTGGAGCACTTGCCTGAATGAAAAATAAGTTGACAATTATTATGATTACTTCTTTTTGCAAAGCTCATTAACAAACAAAAAGTGATTTCTTTGTATGGATATCTGTATATGTCATCTCAGTGAACTTGGATAATAAATATTCCTTGTTTCCTTAAAAAGGGATAGCCTTCCACTCACATTTTCTGTGCCATCATAAAAAATACTTTTTAATAAGCATGAATATTTGAACATTTCTGTTTCAGAGAGAATCTACAGTTCAATATTAATATTTTAGAGCTTTATACAGATTATATTTTCTTGTTTGCTTACTATAAATTTAGTTCTGCTTCAATCTGTGATCTGTGTGGTAATAAAATATCTGCAGATAATGAAATGCAATTAAAATTGCTTTAAAAGTATAACCCATAGTATCTGAAATTAAGTTATTTAATTAAAAGGCTTATCAAAGTCATGATTTGGGTATTTTAATTTTAAAGGCATGCATACAAGGCAAAAAAGGTAAGAATGCTGCTGATTTGTCATCAGTAGAGAATATGCTTTGAGCAATGTATTCATTTGGCTTTCTAGTAGAAATGGCAGATATTTTCACAGTCTTAACAGGTTTGGGTGAGGGGTGCTAAGGGGCACTCAGCAATGCATAGCTTGAAAGCAGGGCTCCACAATGGCCCTGGATACCTTGGCTTCCTCACCACTACCCTGATTGTACCCTACACTAGTACTCCTGAGTCCAAGTGTGGAGCTTGTGCTATGTGGGCAAATAACTCTTTTCCCAGTTTAATTGTGGCCACTTAAGAGACTAAGATTTAGGGCAAAAAGCAAAAATCAGTAACAGGCAAACTGGCAAACTTCATTCGTTAAAATCACATTCATCATATCAACTATAAATGTGTCTTCCATAATTAGTGAATTTTTAATAACATGCTTTGTATGACTGGAAGATGTATAGTCAGGTAAACAGACAGCTAAGCTTTTATCAGGATAATGCCAGTCTTTGAAATTACATGGGCTGAAAAAAATGTTTATGCTGCTTTTTGCAAATGATTTCTATTCATCCTTTCAATTATATAAGCAAACACTTGTATTTAATGTATTATTTATAAGGAAGAATAAGCTCACAATTGTAATACTCAAATTGAACTTTAAAAGAAAAATGCTCAAATTATGTCACCAAATAAGGTCATACTTGATATTAACCACAATTTGTCACCGTAAGATTGTTACCATAAAATGAAACTTAACCTAAAGCTCTAATTCATATGCAAAGAGAAAAAAAACGGGGCCACTTACAGATTGCTTTTTTGAAAGCTTAAAAAATACGTAAAATAAAAAACAGGAAAATCAAAGTTTGAACATTTTTCTTCAAATATGAGGTATGATTGAGCAATTATTACTAGGCTGAAATAGTTGTTAGTTTTAATTACATAAGAATCATGTAATAGGAAAGAAACACTTTCACTTTTTGTATTGTAGTAAGGATATGTGCTAACAATTTCAGACCAGAGTGAAAAAAACCTGACTACTTCAAAATGAATAGAAAAAAATGTGAATTTTAGGTATGAAAAGTGGTTCCTCTGAAAATTTACCACTTAATAATGAAACTTTCATGACAACTCAAAGGGATTTTAACCATCTTGTTTTTGGAAAAACAGGATGCAAATTTTGTTTTAAAAATCTTCTGTTCTAGATCCTATTTCTTAAAGACAGAAATTAAAGCATTAACTTTCTATCCTGCTAAAACATAAGGAATTTATCTTTAATGTTTCATATTTTATAACTGTAATAAGCAAAGGACCTGTCCTTTTAAAAAATCAGTCTTTCAAATGGAATAACTGAAAAAGTAATTAGTGAGACTATATTTTTATCATGACCTCTAAAGATACAGATTTTAAAAATCATTTAAATTTACCATTATTTACTCTCCCTTTAATTACTGCAAACATTTAAAAGTATATGTATTTTCAGGTAATTTAATGTTAAATCCCCATGCTATAATGATCAGAAAGCAAAGAAAAATTCAGATAACTAAGCAAATAAGTGTGAAATTATAAATATGCTAAGAATAACTCCCAAACATTGACATAATAAAAAATTATATGTATTGAAGGATTCCCTTTGGCTATTAATATTTCTTTTAAAATACCAAGATTTTGAAACCATGATTTTAAAAATGCTTATAAGATAGAATACTCCAGCATTTAAAAGTTTATTTAATGTAGTATAGATAGCTCAGAATTATATTTCCCACCTGGGACATTATCCATACATAAGTTTATTTGGAAATGACCAATGAGCTCAACTGAAGTTTATAAGAAAACTGATCAACATTACAAATCAACCCATTTTTAAGAGCATGGGCTTTGGAGCCAGCAAGATCTGGCTTGAACCTCATTGAGGCCACTCACTAGGTAGGTGACCTTACGCAAGTCTCTTTACCTGGTTAGGGCACAGTTTCCTCTCTGAACTGTAAAATGGGGTTAATCACACCACCTCACATCTCAACCATCAGCAGGTCCTGTTGTATTCAACCATTTCCGACCTCTAGATCTGCCCATGTTCCACCATCCTCATCTTTCTCCAAGCCTCTACCACTTCTCTCAACAGCCTCCTAATTGGTCTCCCTCCTTTAACTCTTATCCCTCTACAGTCCATTCTCTACACATCAGCCCTAGCAATCTTGAAAGCACAGACTGGATAATATTTTCCTGCTTGCAATCACTTAGTGTCATCCTGCTGTAAGCAAGAGAAAACTCCAGATTCTTTACACAGCTGTAAGGCCACATGTGGTCTGGCCTCTGCTGACCTCTCTTGCCTCTTCTTATACCGCTCTCTCCCTGTTTACTCTATCCCAGCCACAACGGACCTACTTCTGTGCCTTGAATCTACAAAGCTCCTTCCTGCCTCTGGGCCTTTGCATTTGCTCTTCCCCACGCTTGGACATTCACAGGGCTGGCTCTTTCATATAACAAGTCTCAGCCCAAGTGTTAACTCCTCACAGGGGCTTTCCCCTGACTATCTAAAGCAGCTCTCACTTTACTATCATCTCTGCCCCATTATCCTTTCTTTCTTCATAGTTATCATCACTATATGAAATTCTCTTGTTAGTTTACTTGCTCACTGTCTGTCTCTACCTCATCTACCCATCTCCCAACTCACCCCCACTAGAATGGAAGTTTCATGAGGGCAGATCTGGTTTGTCTTATTCACTACCAGATCCTTAGTTCCTGGTACACAGTAGACATTTATATATTTGATAAATGAATGAAAATATCTTTTAAGCACCTAGCTAGGTATTCAAGAAATCATAAGATTTATTTCTGAAAATATTTACTAATAGCAATACACATATTAACTTCTATCTGGCTTCAGAAAAGCAAAACAAATCAAGGCTTAGAAGCTGTGAGACATGAGGCTATATGAGCCTTAATGATTTTTGTGGAAAAAACCCTTTAATCTTAAAAAAGGCTCTCATTTGGGTATTTGTTAATTTCTTTGGCTTATTTCAAATTGGAAAGATCTGTTGGTCTCAAATGGCCCTATATCATTCTCTGAATTGAGCTGAGGTTACTTAGCAATTTATAGATAGACAGGTTTATCCAAATTTTTTTTTTTTTTTGATACAGAGTCTTACTCTGTCACCCTGGCTGGAGTACAGTGGCATCATCATAGCTCACTGTAATCTCAAACTTCTGGGCTCAAGCAATCCTCCTGCCTCAGCCTCCCTAATAGCTGGGACTATAGATGTGCGCCACCATGCCTGGCTAATTTTTCTATTTTTTGTAGAGACAAGGTCTCACTCTTATTTAGGTTGGCCACACTCCTGACCTCGAGCAATCCTGCCTTGGCCTCACAGAGTATTAGGATTATAGGCATGAGCCACTGTGCCTGGCCTGTTCAAAATTATTATACACCTGTTTCTACCTATACAAAACTGCACAGGTAAGTCAAGGAGAGGCTAACCTATCTGCAAATGGGCAAGTTCCTAATCAATTTGATATTTTACTGAGAACTTACTATGTACCTTATACATGATAGATACTATGGGGTAACTAATGACATTTATTAGCTAACATTTATTAGGCATTAAGCATATGTTAGGTACTGTGCTAAGCACAGTACATATGTCATCTGCTTAATTCTTATTCCAATTAGATGCGGTCAGCTCAGAAAGTCAGAGTTCCCAGTGACAGGGCGGCAACACTGGAGTTCAACCCCAGGTCATCTGAACTAACATCCTTAACCATTTCTTTACTATAGAAGACATAATGTCTAAAGGAGAATGAATTATAATGTGGCCTACATGTATGAAAAAATCAGCAAACAAGATAATATGAAGGGTAGTTTAACTCCTGATATTTGTGACTCCTCAAATTTGAAGATACTAATAAAGGTATATAGTTGCTTCATTTTCCTGCTCTGTGAAACAGAGATAACAACAATGACTAAATGTGATCATAAGTTGAATGAGAACATCAAAACTTAGCTGAGATGTGGCTGGACACAGAACTGCCCAAGCCTATTCACCAGGGAAGGGATCTACTCCGGCATGCCAGCATGTATTAGAATGTTGCCCAGAGGAATACAAACAAGTGGAAAAGAGAGAAGAGAAAGTTCAATGCAGATTTTAGTTAGGAGAGATTTTGACAGCAGAGGAGGGATTTAAACTGAGTTCTGGGCCGGGTGCGGTGGTTCACGCCTGTAATCCTAGCACTCTGGGAGGCCGAGGAGGATTGCTCGAGGTCAGGAGCTCGAAACCAGCCTGAGCAAGAGTGAGACCCCGTCTCTACTATAAATAGAAATAAATTAATTGGCCAACTAATATATATAGAAAAAATTAGCCGGGCATGGTGGTGCATGCCTGTAGTCCCAGCTACTCGGGAGGCTGAGGCAGTAGGATTGCTTGAGCCCAGGAGTGTGAGGTTGCTGTGAGCTAGGCTGATGCCACAGCACTTACTCTAGCCTGGGCAACAAAATGAGACTCTGTCTCAAAAAAATTAAAATAAATAAAACTGAGTTCTGTGTTTACATACATAAGTTGTAAAAACACACTCACCCACAGGCATAGAACCTGTATTCCTAACTATAACTCACTAAATAGGGCTGCTATCATAGAATAAAGTCAAACACTCTCAAAGATCATATTATACTCGAGTTCAGCCTTTAATGCTTGGGTGAGAGAGTTAGGGAGGGTCAATATGGTAATTGCTTCTTTATAGGTGGTTACTTTGAGAAAAAAATGTATTTCATTAACTGGGTTAAAGTTTTTAAAACACTCTCATAAAACAGCATGTATATCAAAACTCATAGGCAAGTGCTTTGATACACATATTACACTATTATTTTCAAAATATCACCTGCAATAGTAATAAGAATAGGGCTTTTAAGTAAGACTTTCTCCCAAAGGGAAGTCAGCTAAACTTTCCTGTTTTCACATATATTCCACATATACCAATATGGCTAATGTTTAAAAAATGTTATATGCAACATGAATTTCATCTGTAATTGTGCTTTTGAATTGCAGTTAAGTAGATAATGGACCTTTTTCTACAGAAAAGTATCTTATGTATTTTGAGCTTTGTTTAACCATTCAGCTTTATAATAAATGGTTAAATACAGGTATTATCCTCATTTTCCATATAGAAATGTGAATGAAGAAGTGCAAGAGTTTTGCCTTGTCAAACAAGAAATGTAATTCTTCTAATATATCACCTAGGTTTGGAGAAATCTTTATTAGTAAAAATTGTCTCTAATTTCAGCTCTTTGTGGTTTAAGTAACATAAACAGTTCTAGTGACTTAGGACTGTCATGTAAGGAAGAAAATCCCTTGTCTGATGACTACACAGTCCCTGAAAAGCCACTTCACAAACAGCATCTTTACGATTTGGACACAAAGTAAACAGAATCTTAAAGTATTTGATATTACCCGGTATTGTAATCTTAACAGTCTGATATTATATGGATAAAAATGCATTTGATGAAGCTGGCTATACTTTATGAGAGTTCTTAAAAACTTCTTTTGAAAGTGAGATTTTAGATCTATGGAAATTTAATTGTTACTTACCATGAAATGAGGTTGTGTTAAAATACGCTTTAGTTCCTTTGCATCATTATTCTCAGGGTAACATGAAATTTCTTCCAATACCTAAAAAATAAACAAGATATATAGTACTGTAAACATGAGACAAGATTTACAAAATATAGAATTCTTTTCTTTGTTTTGGAGACAGAGTCTTGTTCTGTCACCCTGGCTAGAGTGCAGTGGTATCATCATAACCTATTGCAACTTCAAACTCCTGGGCTTAAGCAATCCTTCTATCTTAGCCTCCTGAGTAAGCTGGGACTACAGGCATCTGCCACAATTCCCAGTTAATTTTTCTCTTCTTTGTAGAGATGGGGTCTTGCTCTTGTTCAGGCTGATCTTGAACTCCTGAGCTCAAGGGATCCCCCTGTCTCAGCCTCCCAAAGTGCTGGGATTACAGGCAAGAGCCATTGCACTCGGCCCTGGAATTCTTTTATTTTTATTTTTTTCTCCTTTTTTTAAATTTCAGCATATTATGGGGGTACAATTTTTAAGGTTTCAAATAATGCCCTTGCCCCCCTGGAATTCTTTTAAATTAAAAATTATGAGTGGGCTTTTATGACAGGCAAAACAATTATTTTGAAAAAAACACTTCATTTTATTCAAAGGTTATTAATGCATAAAAGAATGGTATTGATGCTAATAAAAATGAAATGAATTGTTATAATAGTCTGCCAACTTTAACCCAAAAGGTTATTGAAAAATACAAAACAAAATGACAAGCAGGTAACACTTATTTATTATAGGTTTAAGTAACTTAATGGGAGAATATCTCCACATATCTTTTTCGAAACTTACCATCAAAATCAATCTGTACTAAAAGTTAATAAGAAACTTTCTTTTATATTACCAGCACTGTTAATTCCTTTTAGAAATGTCAAAATGAGGCTGACGTGGTGGCTCATGCCTGTAATCCTAGCACTCTGGGAGGCTGAGGCAGGCGGATTGCTTGAGGTCAGGAGTTTGATACTAGCCTGAGCAAGAGCAAGACTCTGTCTCTACTATAAATAGAAAGAAATTAATTGGCCAACTAATATATATATAGAAAAAATTAGCAGGGCATGGTGGCATATGCCACCGTAGTCCCAGTTACTCAGGAGGCTGAGGCAGGAGGATCGCTTGAGCCCAGGAGTTTGAGGTTGCTGTGAGCTAGGCTGATGCCACGGCACTCACTCTAGCCTGGGCAACAAAGCGAGACTCTGTCTCAAAAAAAAAAAAACAAATGTCAAAATGACATAGATACAAATAAAAACAATTTAAAGAAGAATACTAATTAATTAGAAGACTTAATTAAGAATATACTTAAGTAATTTTCCTTTAAGTAATGTAGAAAATGCAAAAATGCCTGGCAGAATCAACATTATCCTCCATACTCATATGCCGACATAGAGAAAATCATGCTTCTGCGAATGGCTCTTAGGATTAAATGCCGGGGAACTCGAGAGAACAATTTTTAAAAAACCTTCTTTTCTCTTTCTGTTCAAATTTTCTTTACTATTTAGTTGTCAACATTTCCTCTGCACAGAAAATTGGTTGTTTTCAAATAAAATTGTTCTTCAAAAGTTCTCCCTTGCCACCAGGAAAGAGTTTACCCATTTAGCTTGTTTATGGGACATGAGCCCATGGGAAAGCCTCTATTCTTTTTCTGAGTAAACACCTGCTGCTATTCTCACAGCGGATGGCTGGATTCACAGAGAGGTTTTACACATTGTACTCCACTGAATCCCAACCATTGACCCAGTGAAAGATCACTTCAGCACGACTGCATGACAGGGGTATACCACCATCTACCCTGTAGGACTCTCTCACCTCGACCTGCAAGAACCTTACAAAAGTGTCATACTGGGACAGGAGGGCATGTTGTGAGGTCACTTAGCCTGAGCTTAGAGGTCAGCATCATAACTATAATGTCGTGTGTTAATCAACCACTCTCTCAGGGAAGAACAAACGAACAAAAACTACAGGTTTTCTTTCTCATCGAAATACCCTGTTAATGAGTGCTGGTTATGCTGTTAATTCATATTGTTTACTGACGATAAACCAATTCTCTTTAGTGTATTTTATGTTTTGAGTTTCTCTGCCAATAAAATGAAAGGACGAAACCACATACTCTTCTCTGGTTCCTTGTTACTCTCACAGTCTATGATTTTAAGTACAAAAGTATGGTTTCCTGTGCTCGCTTTGGCAGCACATATACTAAAATTGCAATGATACAGAGAAGATTAACATGGCCCCTGAGCACAAAGTTGTGGTCTCCTAAGCACAGCTAGGTGGAAATCTTCAGCAGGTTTTCACTGTCCAGTTGAGCCAAAGAATTGTCCCCAGAGTCTCTCTGCTTCTATTTGGGTATTATAAAGGTAGGGTGGTGACTCATGCTTACTGTCTGTGATACCATAAGTCCTTTCAATGAGCGCTTAGTGGGCAAAATCAGGGACCACCTTTCTAAGCTCCTCTCCTGACCAACGGGAGAGGTCTGGAAGCCTCCATGGCATTTGGTCTCATTTCTCAGTGAATAAACAACTATTTTCCAGTGTAGATCTTATGTTTAAAATCTGATAGGAAAGAGATTATGTCTTTCATACTTTTTCACTTAGTAATGTCACTTTGCGGGAAATGTTTTTTTAAAGGGATTTTTTTGGTATAATGACTTACAAGATCAAAAAATGAAAAAAACCTATGTGTTTAACAATGAGGGAATTGCTAATACATTATAATTTAATACCAGCAAAGAAAAAGTATACAGTCATTAGAAGTTATATTTATGAAGACCAAGCAGAAACATAAAAAAATGCTTATTATATAATGTTAGGTTAAAAAAAGATACATTTTGATTACAACTATATAAAAATTTATATGCAAATGAATAGCGACTGGAAAAGGATATGCAAAAATGGAAGCTATTGTGTTAGAGCAATGGGATTAAAGATTAGTTTTTATTTTCTAAACTTTCTGCAATGTCATGTTTCTATCATACATAAATTAAAGTTTGTGAAAGATATAGCCATTTACATCGACAATTTATAAAAATGACTTCTTTGAACTCAGTATATACAATTACTGCAGAAATTTAATTAACTTTCAAACATTACCACCTTAAAAAAGCAACTCAAATTTTCACAAGTCTATTTCTACCAAGTGCAGTAAAATAACTTTCTTTAAAAAAAGAAACTTTCTTTAAAAAAACTTTCTTTAAAAAAACTTTCTTTAAAAAAGAAAAAGAGAAGTAAAATTAATATTAATGTATTCAAGTTCACACAGCAGGACAAGAACTAGAAATCTAGGCAATATTGCTGCTAAGATTTTTTTCTTTTCTCCATGTTCAGTGATAAACTTAGAAATACTAAATCTGAGTATAAGTAGTCAAACTGTGACTCCAAGGAAACTACCTCTAAATGTGCAGCAGAAATGTCTTCAATAAAGATAGCAAATATGATGACACCAAATACTTCGACAAAATATATCGCTTACCTCTTTGGCTCTCTGCACGGCATCACTTGGAGGATTCCTGATTTGTGGTGAAGATTTTGTGTTAATTTTGTCATACAGCTAAAAATCAAAGAAGAAAATCCAATCAACACTCGTAATTCTTTGCTAAAATTCAGAGCTTCATATTTATTATTTCACTAAATAATATTTTCCTCTTAAAAAGGCAGGCTGATGATTTCAGTGGGATCTTCTTGTTCATAACCTCTTAATCGTTCAATGAAACTTGTTAGAATACAAGTCTTACTCATATCTTTTTAAAAAATCATCTTTAAATAGACAGACCAAAATTCTGTCAATGTGGCAATTTCCTTGCCATTTGAAATTCGTCAATATTTCGGCAATCCCAGTGTTTTTTCCCTCCGACAGAAGCAACTTTCAATCACATGAATACGGAGTAAAATGAAAGAATGCTTTCTGGCCAAGACACGTCTGAAAGAATTTTCACAGAAACCTAAATCTTGGGAAAGGGCAAACCCAACTCCTTCTAGGAAGGAATGTTCTCACAAAAGGTTTATGCTTATTTTACTAGGGCTGTTCATTAACAGATCAGTGCTGGCATCCTTCAGCAGAAGTCAAGGACATAAACTTTTTTCCTTTTGACTTTGCAAATTCAGAGTGTGAGAAGATACTGAAAAGAAACTAAATATATTTTTAAAAACCTACAAACCTAAATGATCCAAAGTTTAACTTTCTGAAGAACATTAACTCAATTCTTTAGAGAACAGATCTCTGTAGTTTATAAATAGAACTAAAATATTAAATTCTACCTCGTATAAAATGTTTCATACTCATTGGTCTGTTTAGAAAAGCGAAAAGTTAAAAATGACCTTGACTAGTCTGAATGCTTCTATTTCCTAACTTCTCTAAAATAGGTGGGGATTTTTGTTGTTGGTTTTATTCTTTTTTCCTTCGCCTGCTCTGTTCACCAATGCTAGCTGAGAGGTCAAATACTGACTGTAAACATTCTTTAGATTATAGTCAGATTTGTTTATACTGATGCAAGATAAATCTTTATGACTTGTAAATATTTGGGCCACATCAGACATAAAAATGCCTAACAAGAGCAATGTGAAGATAGAGCAGGGACCATTTTTAAACTATGGCATTAAGAAAGCACTACTAAATCAGAGGTTAAATATATAGCATAAGTAAACTAGTAAAATACTTCTCTGTTTGTGACATTAATTTAACATTTTAGGGAACTAGTAATTTGTGGCTGGTCACAAACGTTTGCCCAAATTCCTATAGAATATACATGGGGAAGCTCCATCTTCTAAATGGTTTCTATCTCTAAAGATTGCCAATTTTGAAATGTGGAAGTGGAGATTATATTTTTCCCATGAAAATAATGTTATGAATAGTGATTAGGTTCTCAGACTAGCCTATAGAAATGAAATACTGTACATATATATAATTTATAAAGTAAAAAAAAAAAAAACATGCCCATTCCATCCAAGTTGTTACAAAAAAAAAAGAAAAGAAAAAAAACATGCCCAAACAAAACACTGAAAAACTAAGAAACCATAAGTTTATAGAAAAATACATTTAAAATACATAAGACTTGCAAGATGAGTAAGTTCTAGAGATTTGCTGTTCAACATTGTCTCTGTAGTTAACAGTATTGTATCGTGCACTTAAAAATTTGTTGAAAGGGTACACCTTATGTTAAGTGTTCTTATCACAATAAAAAAATACATAATCTTTAAAAAAGACATTTAGTCATCACTTGATATGTCATAATATTAATGATCAATGAAAGATTAAATAACCTAAATGAACAAATAAAAAGAGTTTTAAAAATCACAAACTTGTTTAGAAAAAGCAGCAAATTTAATTTAAGGCTTTACAGGTAGACAGCACTATCACTTTATAATATATAATTCTACCACAAACTCTAAGTTTTGCCTTTTTCTTGACCAAGGACTAAGACTGCTTTCAACATTTTCAACTATGATTAGAATTAGTTCCTATTTATTTATTTTTTTGAGAGACAGGGTCTTGTTCCTGTCACCCAGGTTGGCGCATAGCTCACTGTAAACTCAAACTCCCAGGCTCAAGTGTTCCTATTGCTGAGTAGCTAGGACTACAGGTGCATGCCACCATGCTAAATTTTTTATTTGTTGTCGAGACTGGGTCTTGCTATGTTGCCCAGGCTGGTCTCGAATTCCTGGCCTCAAGTGATTCTCCCACCTCGGACTCCCAAAGTGCTGGGATTATAGGCGTGAGCCACCATGCCTGGCATCATTTCTATTTAAACATCTAACAAATGATATAAATTTTTACTCACAAAGCAACAAAAATCCCACAATTCCCCAAATTGGAGACTTTTTATTTTTGGCCTGGTTTTGCTATGCCAAGTATAGTTCCTTAGGTCTTATATCAGTGTAGTTTTTTTTTTTTTTTGAGACAGAGTCTCACTTTGTCACCCAGGCTAGAGTGAGTGCTGTGGCGTCAGCCTAGCTCACAGCAACCTCAAACTCCTGGGCTCAAGCAATCCTACTGCCTCAGCCTCCTGAGTAGCTGGGACTACAGGCATGTGCCACCATGCCCAGCTAATTTTTTTTCTCTATATATTAGTTGGCCAATTAATTTCTTTCTATTTTTAGTAGAGACGGGGTCTCGCTCTTGCTCAGGCTGGTTTCGAACTCTTGTCCTTGAGCAATCCGCCCGCCTCGGCCTCCCAGAGTGCTAGGCTTACAGGCATGAGCCACTGTGCCTGGCCATATCAGTATAGTTTTTTAAGGATTTGTAGCAGAATCAGATGGGGGTGCTTATTAAACATAGATTCTTGGGCCCCACTCCAGACTTACTGTATCAGAATTTAAGAAGGAGGTCCAGAAATCTATGCTTTAATAAACTCCTTAGGTATTAAATAAATCTTGTGTCCAGGGCTAAATTTTGAGAGGAATAACTATAGTACTACTAATAGCAACAATAATTGCTTCTTTTATTGAACACTTAGTAGATGATAGTTATTAGTCTAAGTTCTTAACATATATTCACTCATTTAACCTCAAAAAAATCCTATGAGATTGTTACTCCTATTATTCCTACTTTACAGATGAGAAAACTGAGGCACAGAGTGGTAAAGTGAGAACCACCATTCTAGCCTTACAATGACTTCATAGGTGGCATGCAGGTCCCTGGAGTTTCAATACTTTCAAAGCCCTGCTCCAAGGAAGATGCTCAGACCAAATTTTCTTCTGCTTTCATTTGACCTCATCAAATTCAATCACACATTCACCTAAAGTTCAGTGGAACTAGTAGTAGCATGAGGGTGAGGTGAGATATTTAATATGAAAGACAGATACAGTGGGAAAGAATTAAGAGAAGGTGCTTTCTGCCTGAGGAGGAGACACTGGGCTCTGCCTCTCCAGCCCCAGCTCTTAGGAAAACACAAGGACTAGAGCTCTCAAGGCAGGCACTGGATAGAAAAGATGGTGTCCATGTGGCTAAGAATACATGGTAAATCTCAACTGCTGGCTCATTAACCAAAAGGGCAAGTTAGAACTGAAGCAGGGAGAGGTGAGGAACAGGCTCATTTTGCCACCATTCGAGGGAAAAAGTGACCCTTTGTTGGTTCATCCACATTACCCATCCATCCACCTAATATTTATTGAGATGCTGCTATGCACCAAGCAGTGGGGTTCTATGTACTAGGGTTACCGAGATGAAAAAGATGAGAGTTCCTGACCTCAAAGAGCTCACAATAACCAAAGGCTCAGGAACTTATAAAGGCTTGATCCCTCTGGAGACCTGAGAGTAGTTTGGTCCTCAGCAATATCTACTAGAAATGATCTCAGTGAGTAGCCCTAAGTTGAAGACTATCCAGATGCATATATATATATATATATATATATATATATAATATGCCAACCTTCTTTTTCCCCCTGAATTTCTATGACCGTATGTGTGCTGTGGCAAGCACATGTGTGTTTCTCATGAGTTAAAGAGATGCTGCAGAAACTAACCTGGCTGCAGCCACTTTGATGGAGCCCTGCCCAAAAGGGCTGCCTACAAAGAGCAGGAGGACTCAGAAGTAAAGAGCTCTGGGGCACAGCTGGGGGCAGGAGCTGAGGGGATGCTGCTAAGGCCAGCTGCAGAGTACACTGAAAATGCAGAAGCTACATGTCTGCAATGCAAGACAGAGCCAGCATGGGGATGCCTGCCACACCAAAGGCATTAACAGCCAAGAAGGAAGTGGCTGTCTGAGGTACATGATTATAGAACATGCTGTTTAAGTGCTTCTTTCTCTTTTCCATGACCAGACTCTTGAGTTCTTTTTTCTTTTTTTTGAGACAGAGTCTCACTCTGTTGCCCGGGCTAGAGTGCCTTGGCGTTAACCTGGCTCACAGCAACCTCAACCTCAACTCCTGGGCTCAAGCGATCCTTCTGCCTCAGCCTCTCAAGTACTGGGACTACAGGCATGCGCCACCATGCCCGGCTAATTTTTTCTATATATTTTTAGTTGGCCAATTAATTTCTTTCTATTTTTCAGTAGAGACGGCGTCTCACTCTTGCTCAGGCTGGTCTCGAACTCCTGACCTTGAGCCATCCACCTGCCTCAGCCTCCCAGAGTGCTAGAATTACATGCGTGAGCCACCATGCCTGGCCTGACTTTTGAGTTCTTTGACCTTAGGTAACAGCTCCTAGCATGGGGCTGAGTACACAGTAGATAGTTAATAAATGTTTCCTCAAAAAGTAACGAAGTATTATATTTAAACTAGCACACAGAAATTGTACATAGATATTTTTTTAAAAATTCATAGTAACATAAATAAACATAGCAGGAATTCTCATTTTAGCTTGTTTCTTTAGGAACCAGATGTTTCTCTTCGGTCCTGCTTATGCACTTAAAAAATTTCCCTCAAAATTTAAAACTATATTTTGATAATATTCTTTTTTTTTTGTACCCTTTCAAGTCTGACTTACTTCGTAAAATTTTCAAGGTAGAAGAGATCTTAGATATCAACATGATTCAATTTGTCCATTTTAAGAAGGAGAAAGCTGAGGTCCAGTCAGGTAAAGTGCTACGTTCAGGATTATAGAGCCAGAGCAGC